CCTAGGAGAGGAGGTAATTCTGACTTTGCTATGACAATCTGGCGCTTCTGAATCAGCTACTGTTTTGTTATTAGTTTAAGTATTTGCTACTGACTGTTCAAATGCGGAGTTTTGCGCATCGTATGTGTGTGTGTGTGTGTGAGAGAGAGACTGGGTCACATCACAGTAGAGTCAGCTGTCTTAACCGTGGCTTGTGTACTGCAAACACATACCAGCTTTATCACTGTGTCTGTCACGCGACTCTGTTCCCCTTTCGGGCTTGAACTGATGGTAAAATGAATGACATTATTTACTGTCTTTACATTTATTTTGAAATATGAAGTTCGCGATTATGGTAAGGGGCGTTACATTTCCGACGTGTGCTTGCAGTGTTCGGCCAATCACAATGCACTGGGTCAGCTGGCCAATCAGAGCAGACTGCGCTTGTCGGAAGGAGGGACTTTGTAAAAAACTAAGCGTTTGAGACAGGCGGGGCATAGAGGACCTACAATAATGTACAGTATTTGAAAAATAATGTTTTTTTTTACATTAAAGCATGTCAGCATATTCTGTTACACCAAATACACAAAATAATGATCTTTAAAAAAGCATCATATGACCCCTTCAAATCTATTTGTATTTATTTACATTTTTTAAATTTATTTTTAAATATTGTATATTTTTATGTTTATTCTGAATTGTATATTTTTAAAGTTTACATTTATAAAGTTTAAAGATACACAGCACAAATATGTATATGTATTTAGACACGGATCATGAAAACATGAAATGAATATAAATATCATAATTTCATATCAAATAAATAATATACAAATCTTTTATGATTATTTTTCTTTTTTCTTTTGTGTGTCCAAATATCTCTGCATTAGTACTTTGTCAAAAAGAAATTCCTAACCTTGTGTGCTTTAGTGACTCTTAAAGTCTTCCTCTGCTAAAACCTTATTTCTTCTTTCATGGGTTACTCTGGTGCAGAAATGGCAAAACAGTGTAATGTAAATAATGGAGGCTGCATGCACTACTGCATTGTGGATAAAATTTATGGAGCAGTATGTGACTGCGCCGAGGGTTACAGACTGGCTCTGGATGGCAGGACTTGTGAACCTACAGGTACTATAATCCTATTCCCACGTATTACATTTATCTGCATTGTCACTTTGCCAGTATTGTCACCAGGACATACATTATATTTGAATCTCATAGCTCAAAGCTTTTCTTATATTGTGCAGTATGACTTTTCCATCCCATGCAGTAGCATATTTTGAGTACCATTTACATTTAAGGAATTTCATTCATGTTTTAGCAGATGCTTGGTTTGGTTTATTGATTAGATCCTGCTCTTAATTCATCCCCATCCATCTTTATAGGGCAGTACCCATGTGGACGTCTTGGAGCGAGTATTGCTGAAACTCTTAACTCAAGGTCTCTTATCAGTGATACAACAGAGTCCACTCCTGCAGATTCCCCTGATGTGAACGGGACTAGCACATCTCAACCTACACTGAAAAACATCACCTCCTTCTTTCCCACTCAGCCCACCATCGCAAATAATGAACATCGTATTGTAGGAGGAAATGAGGCAACACCAGGGGAGATTCCCTGGCAGGTAGGTGAAGTGATGAATTGTGTGTCCAAATAAAACATCCATACGATTTCTCTCCACCTTATGAAGCAAGGCTGGTATAATCTTCTCTAGTTTGTGTCGAAAAATCCACAGAACCTTATAAAGAGGACATTACAATAAAAACCGTAAGATCAGAACTCTTGAGGGAAATTTAGCGTCTTTTTCTCTGTCATGTTGGCAGGTGGTTTTTATAGAAAAGGTGAATAAGATTGCATTTTGTGGTGGCTCTCTCCTCAGTGAAGAATGGGTCATTACAGCTGCCCACTGCGTTGAAGGAAAGGTGGGATCTTTCTTCATCAGAGTTGGTGAGAAACCAACTACACTGTCACATCGTTGTTATTGCTATTTGGTTATAGAAAAAAAACTTTTGCAGTTGTGAATAGTATATATAATTAATTATTTTATTTTTAATTTCACTGTCTCAAATCTACAGTTACATATTCCAAGATTAGATGTGATATCACACATAATGTCAATGAGTTGCTGTATTTCATGGTGCTATATTTCTAAAGGGGAACATGATGTCTCAAAGAATGAGGGAAGAGAGAGTGACCACGGCATAGTGGAGTACCATATCCACCCACGTTACAACTCTCGACGGAGTCTTTACAATCATGACATCGCACTGTTAAAGCTCAAGGGACCCGTCAAATTCTCTGACTATGCCCTGCCCATCTGCCTGGGCTCTAAAGACTTCATAGAGAACTTGCTCAGGAGTGCGGAAAACTCCCTGGTGAGCGGCTGGGGGAGGCTACGGTACGGGGGCATCGAATCTAAAACACTTCGGAAAGTAGAGCTCCCTTACGTGGACCGGACGGAGTGCAAAGGCAGCAGCACCTACACCATCTCCCGCTTCATGTTCTGTGCCGGTTACAGTACGGTACGCAAGGATTCCTGTCAGGGGGACAGCGGAGGGCCCCATGCCACCCGCAATCAGAACACATGGTTCCTCACGGGCATCGTCAGCTGGGGCGAGGAGTGCGCCAATGATGGAAAGTATGGCATCTACACCCGTATCTCCAGATACATGTACTGGATAAGTAATGTTACTGGCATCAGAACAGGACGTATGTCCAATACAGATCAACAGAGTTAGAATTAGATTAAACCATTGTGCAGGATTGTTTTAAAAGTATCATAAAAATACATGTTGGATTGAATTAGAGCTCACAGACATTTTTGTACAGATGATATTTACTAGTCATCATTCAACAGACATACTGTAACAATCAAGAAAAAAATATAGTTTTCCATCTTACACTTTGTGCTTGTACATCTGGTGAAATTATTTTCATACATGATATACCACAAATCATTATGAGGTCACTTTCATCTTAGTAACTCTGTACATATTATACACTAGAAGTGTATGGCTTTAAGAAGTGTACTTCAAATTGAAGTACATATGAAACCCATTCAGGCCACATCCACTTTTCTTCTTCTTTGTCAAGCCCTCTTTTGAACTAATGGCATGCAAATGGACCCTACTGTTCAAATGTTTGGGGTCGCTTTTATGCTCACTCAGCCTGTTTATATTTGATCAAAATACATTAATGTTGTGAAATATTATTACAATTTAAAATAACAAAACATTTTTTATAATGTAATTTATTCCTGTGATGGCAAAGCTGAATTTTCATTACTCCAGTTTTCAGTGTCACATGATCCTTCAGAAATCATTCTAATTCATTTCTCATCAATATCAAAGCTGACAACTGCTGCTAAATATGATATTTTTGTGGAGACTATGATTTTTTTCAGCATTTTTTGATGAACAGAAAGTTCAAAAGAATAGCATTTATTTGAAATATAAATGCTTATCAATGTCTTTATCAATTTAATGCATTCTTTCTGGATAAAAATATTAATTTCTTTCAGACAAAAAAATCTTTGTAAAAATCTTACTAACCCCAAACTTTTGAACAGTAGTGTATTTATTCATTGCAGTTTTTAATGAGGTTAGCTAATGTAAATTCACCTCAGTGGTTTCTAAGCGGTTAATGAAATGCGCATTGTGAGTGCAGAGAAAGTTAATTAAAAATAATGAAATGGACAAGTTTACAGTGGACGTTATAATGATGTATACCACCAAGTTTTATTTCAGTGACAAAAACTGACCCAAATATGGTGGATGTGGTAAAAAAAATAAAAATTTTAGACAAAATATTAACAAATGAATTATGCTGTTTCTACAGTAAACCCATTTAAAAACACATTGATAACTAAGAAAATGCTAAGTAGTCCAGAACAGCCATATTTGATCTGGCTTAAAATGAATATGAATATAAACACAGATCATCTGAAGGTGAGCAGTATGTTTTAAGCATAAACGTGAAGCAATAAAGCAATCACATTGCCGACTAGGGATTTGTAAAGTTTTAACTTTAACTTGTGCTCTCTTAAATAATATTTCTTGCACATATTTCTCTGAAATATTTCTTGGAGAAATACTGATGCCAATGTAAAATCAGAGTAATAAAAAAAGAGGAATTAGTGTTATCCTGGTAAGTTTGGAAATGGAATGTTAGGTTTTGGCACATAAGCTAGATACTGATGTTTAGTTTATCTTTCATTCTTTGTAGCACTGGTATCCATTCCATTACTAAAATGGTTTTTTAAAACAAATGTCCAACCACTGTACCCAACCGAGAAGAGAAAAAAAAAGTTTACTATTCTCTCAAGCCAGTTTATGCCCCATGCCATAAACCTTCCTGTTTTTAATATACAGTTAAATACTGTGCTATCTACACAAATACATGTTTTATATCATGTTATGGCACAGCATGGTGATGGTACTTTCCAGGGGTGAAGAAGATCAGTGTAAAGTGCTTTGCAAAGCTCCTTTTATTTCCAGACTGTATTGTTGTAGGTGGTGTTATTGACACGTTCGAGGAGAGAGAGGAATCCCTTTTTGTCTTTAAATCCAGCATAATCCAAAATCCCCACTGAAGGCAGATGGAAACTTTCTCTTGACTAGGGGGCTCAGTTTTCCTGACTTGGTGTTTGTTTGTGTGCTTCAGGTTGGCGTGACTGGGCTCAGTCCTGAATGACAATAATGGCCTTTAGGGTTGTCACATGGTGTGAGCTTTGTGTACATGTGGTTTATGTACTTATGTGTTGCTGGGCTTCCTGCTGTTTATATTTCCCGTACCTATGAGACAACACCGGAGTGCTTTAGAGAAAGAAAAGCTTCAGCAGTACAGTACTGTATTTCTGTTAAAATAAATACAATCAGTTTGTCTCTTTAAAATGAAATATTCATCATGCTTTTAATAAACATTAATTTAATTCGTACAGTAGTCTTATAAAATCATTAGGCCTGTAGAGTTCACTCACCATAAGCCCCCCTCCTGGCCTAATGCATCTGCCTGCATCTCCCACCATTCTCAGCAGTGTATCAACAGGGAGTTTTCCTTCACCTCCACTAGTCAAATTCTTAACATGCCTGTGGGAATTATAGCGTGACACTGATCATTAACTTGTAAATTAGAGTGATTCTTATGTAACTAGTGATTCAAAATTAATATATTTTTGTCCTGACTCCTGTGGGTAATTAATTATTCAGTGTTCTATACCAGAAGATAATGCAAAATTGTATCATATCTTTGAAATCAGATTTTTAAGAAATGGTTCTAGTTTTACAGATGGACAAGTTGGCAAAAACATGCTTAAGTTTTGTAAAAATATTTTTAAGGCGACAATATTAATATTGGTCCAATATATATATATATATATATATATATTTTTTTTTTTCCTAATGCTCACAGAGGCTGCATTTATTTGATGAAAAATACTGTAAAAACAGTAATATTGTGAAATATAATTACAATAAGAATGAACTGCTATAATGTGTTTTATTTATTATTATTATTATTATTATTTTAATGTAATTTATTCCTGTGATGGCAAAGCTGCATTTTCAGCAGCTATTACTCCAGTCTTCAGTGTCACGTGATCCTTCAGAAATCATTATTTTTATTATAAATTATCGGAGTATTTCTGTGCCAAAAATCTTACTTCCAGGTTCGTACCTGTTTTTATACAGTCTATGGTTCGTACAAGTTTCGGAGAGTTTCGATAGTGGCTCTTCATGACGTAAACGAGGGTGGAACTCCTTATAAGGGCAATTCTTCCGGAAGAACGCGCCCGCGCACGCATCAACCAGAGCAAGAGCACGATGCACCCATCAACGCGCTTCATCCGGCAGCGCTGCACGGGACTCGCTCGGGAAGAATGTCTCCAAAGAAGTGTGTTTTTGGTTGTAAGGGTAAGATAACTTTGTTCAGCTTCCTAAAGAACCCAGCATTATGTAAACAGTGGATGCAGTTTGTTTTTCCGGGGCAGCAAAGGAGTTTCACAAAATGTTTTATAAACAAGGCCCAGTTCGACATTGCACATCGTTTGATATTGAAAGATGGAGCGGTCCCAGCTATAAAAGATCCCGGTCATGATTAAGAACTGCAGACGGTAAAGTGAAACTGCATCAAATGTCTGTGTTTTGTTGGCAATAGGAGCTCAAGTGCTCTTCAATCTTTAGCTCCGGCACGCCTCCAGGAGCTCGGCTGTTTCCGAAGAGAATCGTAAAGCTGTATCTTTCTTTTATAAATATGATAAAAGTCTTTTTGGAGATATGAAGGATGCAGTACTACTCTATAGGTACTCAAGATTAACATGAGATTGGGTGAAACTGTGTGTTATGTCCCATTTAATTTATTTAGAAAAAATATATTTTCATATCGGTTATAATAGTAATAGTTATCAACCGGCTTATCAATATCAACCAGAATTTTAACATCGGAGCATGTCTTGTATTTTTTGCTCCACTTAAGCATAAATTAATAATGAAAAATGACTCACCAAAGCCCCATGGCACTCTCCTTAAGCACGTGAATGACATCACCACATTTGATGATTACATCATCCATGCCACACTTTAAGTGGTCCACCATTGCTCTATACCTTCCAGGAACCTCAAAGACAACAAACAAACAAGCATAATACAAGGTCAAAGCCATCATATAGACTATATAAAACCAAAATCCTTTATTGTTGATGAAGTTTCCCCCGAATAACTGGGAATCTGAGTGATATCTAAAGGTCTAAGCTCACAAGCACTACATCGTCTTCTTCATCAGAGTCTGAAATGTTCGAAAGGTCAGTGGTCCAGTCCTCCAGACCCTCACAGATGTCCACTGAGTGAGATGTCCCTGGCCAGCCTGCAACCCACAACCAGCCGAACCATAATGGCATTCTCCCCAAACGGGTCGTAAATCTTTCATGCATTGCCATTATGTGGTTCAATTTCATGCAAATAAATGTGCCACAATTTACATATTGCATATTAAAAATCCCATTTAAAAAACATTATGTTCGATATCATAGTGAATTTTCCTGCTCCTGTCAACTAGACTAAATGCCAGTGAAAATGGCCTTCAAGCGGCCTCTGACTCACTGCGGTGGTTTTGGTGGCGAGGACGTGGAGAAACGATGACTGGGTCTGTCAAAACCGGACTCACGCGGCCTGAATCGGCCTCCTCAGAGCTGATGGACGCCCCCTGGAGCTTGCTGTGAGGAAGGACATCAAAACAACCTGAGCAGCCAGTGATCTGTGTGGACGTCCAGGGCATGCATACGGACATGTGCCTCACACTGACCCACCAACCGAGGAACCGACGAACGGAAACAAGGGCATCAAAGGAACACAGGGCAAAAACACAACAACAACCATCAAACATCGTCACAAACAGCATATTCTGAAACCGGACTGCAGTCAATAGAGTAAAATGGCAAATAAGCTCAATGTTAATGATATGCGTAATTTTCAGGCATTCAATTGAATTTCATTGGGGGGAAAAAACATTTCATATTAGCGGAGTTGACAGGACATTGACCCCAATCCTGTTTCATTGAACAACAACATTCAAAGAAATTGTTTTGAAAAAAACGCAAAGTAGGCATACTATGTGCTGCAAGTGAAATGAAATATCAATTTCACTGTTATTATTTATTATAAAATGATGCTTGTATCTTTAATACATGATATTAATTTAGGGTGAAGTATATATGTATCACATCTGTCACATCATAAATAATCCTAAAAGTTAAATAAAAATAATCACAGATTTGCATATTAGCCAATTAATTAGCCCATGACTTAAATTAGATTTAAATGTGCAATTAGGATAAAGTGCAGCTTAGACAACAACTTCACTAAATGTTTAAAAACCATAATGTTTGGAAATAATATTAGACTGTCATTTACTGCATAAAGCATTTTATGTTTGATTCTCCAAAAAGAAACACTCTTGCTTCAAGAGTTTTTTTCATGCCAGAATGGTACCAAGTAGTACTACATGCATCATGCAGATGGGCTCAAAGCATACAGTCTTTATGAATGTGATTTGTATAAGGCAACACTGTTTGACAAATTCTGTTGATTTTTGTTCAGATCCTTCCATATGCAGATATGAATGTTGATTTACACATTTTACATCCATACTATAGAAGAGATTGCAAAAAGATTGTGAGGGGTTACGGGAGTGCAGTGAGGATCACCTGTCGGCCAAGGGTGGAGATAATGACTGCTCACCATCCGGGTGAGCATCACCTGAGAAAGTGAAACACAGAGTTTGACCTACTAAACACGACAGATTTCATTAAGACATACCAGTTCAGAATTCAACACTGATATTAACAGAAATGGAAACGCAGTGTAGGAACCTTTGTCAATCTTTTGCTGATTGTTGAGGATTTTTCTAATCTCAGTGAGCCATGCAGTCTTCACATCTACAGTTGCAGCCTGCAAAATAAAACAATTACAAACTACAAATAAGTTGGGGGGCACCATTTTATTTTCTTATATTATATCTACTCACATTTTTATATTTTATTTTATTTATATTTCTAATTTATATCTATAATATAGTTATATATAATGTTATTTTCAATATATATAATTTTATATAATATTTTAGATTTTTCAATATTTTATTTTATTACTATTATTTTTAATGACAAGTTATATTATTATCATAACAATTTTAGTAAAAAAAAAGTTAAACTGAACCCATCACACTCAAATGTTTTTTTAAACCCTAAAACTATCTTATCTTCAGTTTTAAATTAGATTTTTTTTCAATGTAGTAACAATGTGTCTTAAAAATGGCTAATTAGTTCTTCTAAAGTTTATTTTTTAAACACTAATTTTTAGTTGTGCAAACAAACTGAAATTTAATGTTCAGGACTTGACATTAACAATCACTGTGAACAAGCAAATTTTGATATATCTCCATCAATGAGGAGGTTTTGAGGAGCCGTTATTAAGTGATGACAGAGGCACTTGTAACCTTGTATGTACTGCATACTGTGGAGTTTTAACCTTGATAAAATGACTCACCTGAACAACATACACCTCCTCTTTTCCGTTATACCAAATTTCAAACTTCTTTACATCCCCTTTGACGTTTTCTGTGATACCAACAGCACTCATCTGCAAATGAAACAGAGAGGTCAAAAATCTCACTTGGAAATTCAGTAACATAGTATTTTAATAACCTTGTGTGTTTTTTAACGGCCAATGGAATTTGAGTTAAGCCTAAAACCCCTTTCATGAAAACGTCCATCTCTTTGAGCACACTTAAAATAGAGCTGGAATAAAGAAATAGGTGCTTAACTTCAGCATCTGTGCAACACAACATGCTCAAAATGGCTTTAGTGTATCAAACAGGTCAAAGTTGACTGGTTAGCTGCATGGTGGATATCATAATTGCAAAATCTGGCTGCAAAAACCATCTTTCTACTTTGACAGTCATTCAAAAGTAGTCATGCATTCTGACAAAATGACTATTTAAATGGCAAATATGCTGATCTCTCACTTTCTCTCACCATCAGGCAGTGTTTGAAGCTGTAAGAGGCTGTCCGATCACGTGCCTCTCCACTCTCCTCTCTCTTCTTGCAGAAAAGCAGAGCTCTTTCATGAAGGAACAGATGCCTTTGCATTGGTTTAAAGCGAGCCATGTCCTTCATGCGTGTTGGCCCTTTCCTATGGTTGATCCAGACGTTGAAAGACCCCTGCATAAGGACACGGCCCAAGTCACTCAGTTCGCCCTAGATACAGAGGACACAGAAGAAAGCAAATGTGGGAATGTAAGTAGCAGCACATCAAACTTAATGGAAGGCCATTTTTGAGCAAATTTTCATTTTTGGGTGAAGTATTCCTTTAATATTCCTCCTCTATCCTTCCTCATTTCTTGGACGCACCTCATAACCAGTGATGGCAATTTGATGCATGGAGTCATTGACAGACTTGAGGAGGTCCAGCATGGCATTTAGCGCCCCTTGCAACTCAGATGCATACTGTGAGTTTGAGCTGTGTTTTAGTAGTTCCTAATCAGAGAGACAGACAGCATTTAGTGTAATAGACATCTGTGAGGAGGGAGGGGGGATTCTATAACATTTGGTTTGTTCTAGTTAAGCACCTTCAGAAGAAGCTGGTACTTGGTTAAACGTTGAACAGGTTTCAGCAAATATGAGTCCAGGCCTAGTTTATGATCCAGCTTCTTTTTGCACTCCTACATAAGAAAGAAGATAAAATTAGCTAAATAAACAATCTAAAACTCATTTCATGAATATAAAATATTACACTAATCACTATCTATCCCTATAAATATCTGCTAGTGTTGTTTATTGTAGCCATGTTTATCAGTTGTTAATGTATGGTTGTGTGATATCAAAAAAATATCCACAACAATACCTGGATGAAAGCTGAATCTGAACACTGCCTCCAGAGGGCATCTGAGCGAGGTTTGTTCTGGCAGTAGCGCTCATAGACCTGAAAATTTTCTTTCTGCAAAAACATTCATTACAAGAGAACTCTCAACAGGCATTAAGTATCCAGATAAGTGTTTCCTGTATTACTTTTCTACTCCGTCAGTATACCGAATCTTCAGAACCACAGCAGAATAAATCATATTTGCCTGAGCTGTGATTGTGAGTTCACAGTTTAAAACATTTATTTTTTATCAATGTTAAAAACAGTTGTCCTGCTTAATATTTTTCTGGATTTTTTTTTTTCCAGGATTCTGATGCACAGGAAGTTAAACAACAGCATTTGCTTGAAATAGAAAATCGTTTGTAACTTTATAAATGTCTTTACATATACAGTATATGTATGACACAGAATGGCTCACCCGTTCCAGAAAGCGTGCTCCCACTCTCTCTGGGGTCTCTAAGCAGCTCTCGAGGTCCTGCAGGAATATCCTGCACAACAAAGACAGGATCAGCATGAATGTGTGTTTATGTGTCCATGTGTGTGGGCATATTTCTCACCTGCTGTGGAATTTATAGATCTCCGGCAGATTTCCAAACAGCTCTTCTTTCTTGTTTCGCAGTACAGATGGCAGTATATTAGAGAGAGATGGGTTGTCCATCTCTGCCCTGTAACCCTGTCACAATATCATAGAGCAGTCATTTTTTAGAACTATTAAATTAGCTCTATTTGTCCACTTTTCATGTTGTGTTCTTAATCATTGTATCAAATCAGACCCACCACAGTTTGTTTTGTTTTTATATGGCAGTCTCCATCAACAGTTGTACAGAAAGCATCACATTACCAGTGGAAAATGTGTATGTAACTACATGACCAGGCTCTTATGCACCGTGCCACTATAAACTACAGTGTGAAAGGAAAGATGTGAGATGTGATTTCAAAATGAGTGCATCCAAAGGTCACCTACAATATTACAGCTGCGCAGCAAATTGGATGAGGGAAAATAAAACACAGACCAATTATTTCAAGGTCATTTGGTCTAGATATTACCAGCAAAACAGACAGCAGCTCATCCACATAGATTCTCTCCGTCTCAATCATCTCCTTCATCACGTGGCTGCAGAAGCGAGGTATGCATGGGCAATAACAGAGGAGAGAAGGGAAGAAAGATATGAGGACAGAACGGGAAAGAGACTGGTGAGAGACAGACAAAGAGAGGAGGTTGAGAAGAAATTCATGATTCATGAATATACATTTTTATTTTGTCAAGATATTGCATAAATGCTCACCGTTTGTGTTGGTCTGGGTTCTCAACTCCCTCTGGGCTGTAAGACAGACAGCTGCGGTTCTCCTCGTAGTCGTGCATGACCTCTATCTACAAGAACCGGAAAAAAGTTCCTAAAGCTGTCAGCAACGAGTAGACAAAGTGTACTTTGTATGATTTTGAGATGAACAAAGATGGTCAGCCAAACCTTTTTAGTGCTGGGACCTTTCCGTGAGGCCCTTTTACCAGGAAGTGCAAGATCAAAAGAAAACCTTAAACTGGAGTTCACGTCAAAACCTTTGAAAAAGACATAAAACTTTCAGACAAATGGAGACAGTGTGTTTACTATGTGCAAATGCAGTTGAAATAGATAAACATACTGTGTTTAGGAGAGAATACAGGGGATCTGCAGCGTGGTGAGTTCTCGGGCCTTGGAGCGACTAGCTGGATGGGTCTGACTTGAATATCAGCCAGTTTCCTCAGACAGGCCTGTCTGCTCTGGATCATTCCCTGCACTGTTGATAGCTTTTCTGTGATAGACTCTATCTGAGACTAACAAGAAAGGAACAGTGTGAACTTAAAATAGGTACCTGATCGATAGAGAATGAGTAAGGACATACTGTAGAAAAAGAGGGACATGACATTTTTGCATTCCAGTGTCTGTACTCAGAGAAAAAAAAGAATATTGCTTTTTGAGAGCTCAGATATATGGAAGTTCGTTTCTGCCATGCCATTAAAAAAAAGGTTATTGTGACTAAAATAAAACAATAGATAGGACTTCCGGTTGGCTTGTGTGGGGAGTAGCTGCACTTTGCCTGTGCTCCCACAGTTTTCATTTCAAATTTCTTCTCTAGCCCATCAACGATTTTATAACATAGTTAATTGGTCGGTTTACTTTGAAATCTAAAAATGCTAAGAAAGACGAAGTTAAGAAAGACAAAGCACAAGCTAGCGGCAGCTTAACACTGCTGGAAGAGCACAGAGCGGCTTTATCTTCAGAATTTAAAGCGGCTTTTTCGACCTTGAAGGCGAGGCTAGACACATTACATACAACGGTAAACATATGAACAGTGACTTCTCTCACTTGAAGCAACTGCGGACATGAGCGGCATGAGTGTCGGAGCCCTAGATTCAAAGTATGCAACTTTAACTGATGAACACGCTAACCTCAAAGCCAAGGTCATGGATCTAGAAGGAAGGAGCCGAAGGAATTCTTACATTCATCATTCATATTCACGAATAGATTTTTTTATTTGACAACATGCTACTAATCAAGCTGTGAGTATCACAGCATTGTTATTTCGGATCACGCTCATACATCATAAGATCATAAGATACAGTGTAAGATTTTACATAGGGTTTACTATACTAATGCTACACTTGCTAAAATATATCCTTCTGTCAGTAATGCCTGTAATCGGATCTTATTCATATGTTGTGGGAATACCCTACGTTATTTGATTACTGAACCAAAATATTTAAAACTCTGAAGGAAGCCTTTGACATAGATCTTGATCCGAATCTACTTTTGGCCATTTTCGGCATGGTGGTCCATGCTGATCTTTCAGTGACGGTTCGAAAGGCTATAGCCTTTATTACTTTCTTAGCCAGACGTCTCATCCTTTTAAAATGGAAAAATGCCTTACCCCCTACTTTTGATACATGGCTGAAAGAAGTGTTTACTTGCATTAAAAATTAGACTGTCACTCAATGGTCAATTTTTATTTATTTATTTTGACAATTTAACATGCTATTTTTTTTTATTGTCTAAGATTCTCTCTGTTAAGATATTAATATTGGTTTTTGTTTGTTAATTTTTTTCTATTGTTATTATTGTTTGTTTTTTTGTTTGGCAAGTTTTTCTTAGGTAGTTGGTTGAGGGAGTTGCTTCCTAGGGTATTAACAGTTCATTGTTGTCGATAGATTTGATGTTCAGTGCAGGAAATCCAATCAAATAAATTTTAAGTAATGAAACAATAGATAGAAAATAATGTGGATAGCATAGCTCAGATAATTCAGTCTTGGAAGAAATGTTCGAGTTCACTCTGAAATCTCTGGCTGATTTGGAAATCTGAGCACAGTTTTGACACAGGAATGCAATTGTGTGGTTATTTTCTCTGGGGGGAAAAACAAGAGAAGCAGGAAATTTATTTGCCTTCTATTTAATCTGCTTGCTATAGAGATAATAAAGGAATAGTTCATCCAAAAATGAAAATCCAGGTGGGTCAGTACCTGCAACTGTGGAGTGAGTATTGTTTCAAACTCCAGACTGAGAATGTCCGGGTTAGACCGCAGCACTGAGGGAGCTGTCTCCATCAGTTTCTCAATGTCCTGCAGGGCTGCCTGCGCCCCCTCTTTTGACTGAAACTTATCCAGCAGCTGGTTTGCCAGCAGATAGGCCCCCTCATCACACCAACGCACAGTCTGCCCATAAACAGATATGCAGAGTCTGTATGTGCTTTGCATAAAGTAGATAAATTACATATTTCTTGCATTTGCATCGTTATTACCTGCTCCAACCGCAACAGCAGGTCTCGTATGCGCGTGAGAGATGCCCGTTTGGCACGAAGAGCTGTAGTGAGAGTGTCAGAGTGATGCCTCAATTCATTGCAGCGCTGAACTATTAGGGCAAGAGCATAGTGATGACTCGCTGCCAACTGGTGCCCATGTAGAATAATAATCTGAGCACGGCCCATTTCTTCCTGCAAGAACAACAGAGTGCTCTCAGCTTTTAATCAGCGTATCAGTTAAAAAGACTGGTCAAAAGATCTGCTACCTTATTAGCATCAACTTCAACATCAATCAATATTTGTGGTGTGCTCAAAAAGGCGTGTTTACTAGTAAAAAAAGAGAAGATCGAATATTTAAATCTTTAACATATTAAACCTCTGCTGTGGTTTCCAGCATCTCAAGGTCTTTGAGCAGCTGCTCTGTCTGGGCCACTGTTGTCCCCACAGATGCAATGGCTTTCTCCTGCGCACTGAGTTTCTCCAGAATGGCTTCCATCTATGCACAGACCAAAACCAAATAATTATGTTCACTGATGCATTTAAGATACATGTTTTATTAGTGCATTAATTCACACACAAAAATAATAAAATAGCAGACGTGTCATTGCTATAATTACAAAAGAAGTTTTGATGTTTTTTCCATAGCTATTAAATTGTTTGTAATAAATGCTTTATATACAGAGTAATCATCAGTCGAAGGCATAGTAATGAACACAACACTCAAAAAGCCATAGCAACTTAAATCTGTGAATCTTTTTTTATTCTGTTCATTTACAAGAACCATCCGAATTAACTTTCCAATGCTGCATATGGGTGGACCATTTAAGACGAACCGATTCACTAAAATGAATCATACTTTCCAATGCTGCATATGAGAAAATGGACTGTTTAAGACAAACCATTTCACGAGAATGGTTGGATTTCCCAGTGTTGCATATGAACTGTTTAGGTCAAATTGATTCAGTAAAATGTCTCGCATTTTCCAATGCTACGCATGACAGAGATGAGGACCCTTGAATAACGAATTGATTCACTTGAATGAATCAGACTTACACATGAGAGTGAATTGTTTAGGATGAACCGATGCACTAGAATGAATCAGACTTTCCAATGATGCACACGAAAAATTGTACCGCAGAATGACGCAGGCTTTTCAACGCTTCATATGATAGAGGATGACCAAATTACTAAAATAAATCTGACATTGAAAACAGCAATGTTGCACTGTATCGCTAATTTTTGGGGAAAAGTAGCTTGTTACTAGAAAGCTGTAAAAGCAGTGTTTTTCTAGTCTGTACCTCATGGAAGCTCATCTCGTATTGGAGCAGTTGAAGGTATTGTTGGAGCTTGAGGTGGTGCTTCTCAAAAAAGCCATCAAAAGCCATTTCCATGTCACGTACCTGAGCCACGAGTCTGCAAGAAATAAATGGAACATGATGGGTCTTTTTTCCACACACAGAGCCTCCCTAGAATATAATGGTGATTGTGATGGACACATTTTGCAGAAAGATGCATTGTAGTAACTTCCTAGTGGAAGTTAAATAGACATCAACCAATCCAACACTGAGGATAAAATATAAAAGGGGGAATAAATACAGCATGATTTTGAATACCTGAATCACATAAATACTCCTTAGAGAGTTATTCAGCTACTCGAAAAAGCTGATGACAATTATTTACTGTGCTTATTCTGCTGCTGAGTAATAGCCTACATACCTCTGCACTCTTTCTTTGTCTTGGCTGATGTCTCTGTCTTCTGCTGCAGCACCTTCCACAGCTTTTGAGGCCTCGAGGTTTGAGAGAAGCTGGCATCCTTCTCTCATAACTGACCTAATGTCATCCTATAATAGTTTTCAAACCATGTGTCTAATTCAAATTTCACTTAAATTTTTATATATAAGCATTCATGCATGTTTTACAGTATTACAGCCTTTTTTATGTGTGAACAACTTGGGATGCTTTTATATTATTTTAGTTGTCCTGTATTGGCACATTAGTGGTGAAATATCAAATTTGTTGTGAAAATCATCCTACCAGTCATTGTGTTTTATATTTAATAGATTTCCCAAAATTCTGAGACCACAATGAAAGTATGGGATTCAAAATCTAATTTAAACCTGGGAATACATTTTAAGATTAAAAAATGCATTATGCCATATAAATTATGACAACATTATGCCATAACATTTTATATTGTTTTTCCTATTAAAAAAGCTATGCTGATAATGTAATGCATTAGATAAAATTATATTAAATTAGAAAAAATGTCAGCCCCCACTGTTTATGTGCATAATACATACACAACTACAGAATCATCACCACACCTTCATCTGCCTGTATTTCTCAGTGTGTGATCTGAGTAGGTACTCTATGCCACTGGCTTCATCAGGTAGCTCCATCTCAGACAGCTCTGTGCCGAATGTCTGCAGTAACTGAGCAATCCCCTTCACAGTCACTGCAAAACTCTCTATGGCCTGGAGGGGGCAGCACAGACAAAAATATGCATTACTCAGCATTTACTGCAGTTGTAGGTCAAAGCATGCTTATCTAAAATCAGATTTGTATGAAATTAGATTTGCATATCACAATTAATGAATACGAAGTAAACAGATATAATTCAGTAACTGATTTGTTTCTCTTATCTTATTAAATAGTGAAGCATACAATGTGATTTTGTGATTTAATTTCCGAGTCTGCAAGAAATAAATGGAACATGATGGGTCTTTTTTCCACACACAGAGCCTCCCTAGAATATAATGTTGATTGTGATGGACACATTTTGCAGAAAGATGCATTGTAGTAACTTCCTAGTGGAAGTTAAATAGACATCAACCAATCCAACACTGAGGATAAAATATAAAAGGGGGAATAAATACAGCATGATTTTGAATACCTGAATCACATAAATACTCCTTAGAGAGTTATTCAGCTACTCGAAAAAGCTGATGACAATTATTTACTGTGCTTATTCTGCTGCTGAGTAATAGCCTACATACCTCTGCACTCTTTCTTTGTCTTGGCTGATGTCTCTGTCTTCTGCTGCAGCACCTTCCACAGCTTTTGAGGCCTCGAGGTTTGAGAGAAGCTGGCATCCTTCTCTCATAACTGACCTAATGTCATCCTATAATAGTTTTCAAACCATGTGTCTAATTCAAATTTCTCTTAAATTTTTATATATAAGCATTCATGCATGCTTTACAGTATTACAGCCTTTTTTATGTGTGAACAACTTGGGATGCTTTTATATTATTTTAGTTGTCCTGTATTGGCACATTAGTGGTGAAATATCAAATTTGTTGTGAAAATCATCCTACCAGTCATTGTGTTTTATATTTAATAGATTTCCCAAAATTCTGAGACCACAATGAAAGTATGGGATTCAAAATCTAATTTAAACCTGGGAATACATTTTAAGATTAAAAAATGCATTATGCCATATAAATTATGACAACATTATGCCATAACATTTTATATTGTTTTTCCTATTAAAAAAGCTATGCTGATAATGTAATGCATTAGATAAAATTATATTAAATTAGAAAAAATGTCAGCCCCCACTGTTTATGTGCATAATACATACACAACTACAGAATCATCACCACACCTTCATCTGCCTGTATTTCTCAGTGTGTGATCTGAGTAGGTACTCTATGCCACTGGCTTCATCAGGTAGCTCCATCTCAGACAGCTCTGTGCCGAATGTCTGCAGTAACTGAGCAATCCCCTTCACAGTCACTGCAAAACTCTCTATGGCCTGGAGGGGGCAGCACAGACAAAAATATGCATTACTCAGCATTTACTGCAGTTGTAGGTCAAAGCATGCTTATCTAAAATCAGATTTGTATGAAATTAGATTTGCATATCACAATTAATGAATACGAAGTAAACAGATATAATTCAGTAACTGATTTGTTTCTCTTATCTTATTAAATAGTGAAGCATACAATGTGATTTTGTGATTTAATTTCATTTTGTGAAGCATATAATGCCTTTTTTTGTTACAGTATAAATGTCTTGTTGTTTCCCTGAATGAAATTAATGTGCCGCTACAGTGTGTACGAGAATGCTTACCGTTTGCAGAACTATCCAGTCACTATGGCATTCCTCCAGCGTACCACCAAACTCAGTGCTCAGTTGATTTTCATCAATGAAGCGAAGCAGGTCTGTCAGGGAGCTCAGCATTACCATCTGAATAAGGCGAAAAGAAGCAGGGAATTAATTAAGCACAGTCTATTTAATAAAATTAAGTTCAATAAGATTAAGAGCTCATTCGTTTAGCATACTAACTTTGTAAATGTGAAATGTCCTTTTAAAGGAATAGTGCTGAAAATTTACTCACACTCAGACCATACAGACCAGTCCATCAATTAATGTCTTGTGAAGTGAAAAACTGCATGTTTGCAAGAAATAAATTCACCAAGGCGTTTAACCTTAAACTGTCGCTTCTGGCCAAAATCCATTGTTCCATCCATTTTTTTTTTATCAGCTGTTTGGACTCTCATTCTGACAGCACCCACTTACTGCAGAGGATCCAATGATGAGCAAGTGATGAAAATGATAAAATCCTTCAAATCTCTTCCAATTAAGAATCAAACTCATTTCCATCTTGGATGGCCTGAAGGCGTGTAAATTGTCAGCAAAGTTTCATTTTTGGGTGAACTATTCCTTTAATGAATTCCTTGTTATCGATAAATAAATATTGAAAGAAATAGATATAAAATATCACATTTTGCCTCATATAATCAGTGGGTATTAAAATAAATGACTCAATATTATACAATTTGATGTTTGTTCACGTATATGCATCTAATGACTATATCATAAAGAACCTATTGTTTTTGTACCACAGTGGAATCTCATCAGCTCTTACCGGCATCTTGAGTGCAAAGTCGTCCTGACTGAAGCGGAAACCGAGGTCTGTTCCAGTGGTCTGCAGGTGGGTTTTGGGTCTCAGCACTAGAACTAAGTGCAAATGTCCAGGGAATGACATCTGAAGATGAGATATGATATTTCAGTACATGGACACATTCAACTCATATCCAATCGCATAATTCAGGATGATTTAAAGAGTAATAATATAATGACAATTTAATCATAAATTGTGGGTGGCTGCTTGTTTATCACCCTCCCACTTCTAATGTGTTCACAGATGTAGAAATCTAGGTCAGACACCCACCTATTTCCATAAATGCGCATATTTAAATTATAATTAAGCTAACAGATTAAAAGACAAGGGGAGAACTCGAATTATATTTCAAATGTGTTTTTAGCCTTTAAAATACTAAAATGTGAAGCTAACACCTCTTGTAACACCTTTCCTGCTGATTCAAGCAGGAAATTCAATCTAACTAGCAACTACTATGCACTTTTTCAGACCCTTAAAGACAATCAATGTCCATGGAAATCCAAGACTGACTCTAACTGCTAATGCTGACAAGTCAGTGTAAGCTGTCTGTCTTCTCCCTTTTTGATTGACTTATGATCAGTAAACCTCGTCAGAGACACTCACTTTGGCTGCCATAATCAGTAGTCCTGCAGTTTACTTCATCATCAGGGGTTAAAATACACCCTTATGGTGCATATGTGTAATGACTAGCAATAAAACACAGATGCACAGCCAAAAGAAGTATAAAGTATATTATTATTGCGTTAGTCATAATCCATCCACGGAGTTACACACGAAGTGGTCAGGTGTTTCAAAAACCGATCATTGCACATGCCTGTAATCAAATGTAAAATGCAACACTGCTGACTGCAATAATTATCCCTGTCCTAACTAATAGTTATTATTACAAACGCGTGCGTTTATAGTCTTGTTTATAGTTTCTCATTAATCAAAAGCAAACTAGACTCCCGCCCAGCGTCCGCAGTAGCATTTGTCAGTTCTGCAGCATAAACCCGGTCCAAAACAGAGAAGAATCCATCTTACCGCAGCCCTCTGGATCCGGGGCAGTCCCCTGAGTGGATTAGCATCCGCCATTGTTTCTAATTTGCCCTTTTCGTGGGGATGTAGACCCACTTCTTGGCCTCACAACTTCCCTCCCTCTCTGACTTTGTCTGCGGGACTGTGAGCAGCGGCAGCAGCAGCAGCGAGCAGCCGCAGAGCGGATGCTGCAGTGCCGAGTCCCGACGACACCTTGACCGCACTTATCTGCTCATTACTGTCACACCTATAATTACATGGCACTCTAACGCAGAACAAAATGTATGTACGAAACCACAGTTTTGTGCAATTTGCTCGAATCAGACCTGATTGGATTAAACTGCAAGCGTTACATTGTAGGGAGGACACGAATTATAAAATCCAGCACCATGGACAGAGGTCGATACACACTCGGGCAGTAAACGGCCCTACACACCACGTCGCGCTACATCACCTCACTCGCATCATATATATATATATACACACACACACACACACACACAAAGGCGTCATGTCCATTCAAAGTGAGGGGGCACGTGCCCTCTTAGATTTTTGAGCCAAGTGGATTTTGAATGCAGCTTCCAAAAGACAAAAAATTGCCGATTAATATTTGCTATTTTTAATAGAATCACACCTGCGTGATTAGAACGTTCAGCGCGTCACATCATCAGCTGCTAAATTCAAATCTGCATTCTCTGGCTGGCGCTGAGCCATAGACAGACGCGTTTGTGCAGCACTGCGCATTAACCAATCACACAAGATGCTGTTGAGCTTATGAATGCAATGACCAATCAGAGGTGTTCAGATGAGTCATCGCTCAAATGCCGGTGTTTTCTTCACTCTCTAGCTGACTGAATAGCTCTTTCTGGCGAATTCTCGTCAGAAAAAACAAAGTGCAAATGTGTGTACGAATCTGTAAGATATTAATTTCATAGTGTAAACAGCTTCAGTGATTTTAATGGGAGTTTTTGAGAGTGCTTGAACGAGACTGTTAGTGAAAATGTTCTTTAATAATGTAAATGTTCTTTGCTCTCTTTCTGTACAATGAAAGTGTTATGATTAGTAGCCTAACTTGCAATGTTTTTATTCACATTAACTTTCGATGTTAAATTCACATTATGTATAAACTCAGGCGTATTAAAAATATGTTATGGCATGACACCCATATCTGTTAGTAAACAGACAGGTTTTTATGCAAAGCATTGTTAATATATTACACTATTAGATTACTTTGACCATCGCCCAATATAGATCAATATAATCTATAAAGGTGAGAATCAAGACATTTCATGATAATTAAGTTAATGCGTTTGGGAATGTTTTGAATAAAAAGGAAAAAATTAAAAGATAAGTGTTCCCTCTACCCCCCTACCCCCCTCCCACCCAACTCCTACCCCCTCAAAAATAATGAGTGCATGATGCCCCTGTACACACACAAACACACATAGATATAGTTCTTTTAAATTTGTAATAAATTACATAATATATATAAAATACATATTCATCTAAATGTATAATGACAATATAATTTATGAAAAAAATATATAATTTTATGAAAAACATTTTTGTTGACTTTATATTATTTGGTTAAAATGACATTTAATATGACTGAAGCTACATGACTAGGTAAAACATAGCATATCCATATAGATTTAAAGTTATAAATTATGTAAAACATAATAAAAACAACATTTACATTTTCTTTTTTACTTTTTCATTGTTTCTTAATTGCATGAGGCATGAGAAAAGATGTAAATAGCTTTACACACAAACAAACACACACACACACACACACACACACACACACACATACATACACACACTCTCAGGGGAAATACATTTAAAAAATGGTACTAAAATGTGCAAATGTGTACTTTTTAAAAGTGTTTCACCCCAGTGATAGCTTTTGTACCTTCTTTTCTGAGAGTGTATAGCCAGGCATAGCATATATTGCTATTGATTACATGTAACCACTATTAGGGAAATGATGATGACCTAAGTTTAAGGCTGATTATGGATGATCAGCACAGCAATCAGAGTGAGAAATATGAATGTCTCTGATGAGGTTCATAACAATGTAACTACACTACACTTACATTAAAAGATTGAAAGTGCTGGCAGTTACTCAAATTAAAGACAGGCCCGTGAACTTTGACCAAAGATCTGGATGGTGCTCAACACGTTCCTGGCATTTTCCAAAGCTTTTATCACCAGCCACTGTGATTAGGATTTTTAAGCATGCATAGAAGTTATGAATAGAACATGTGAATTAAAATGTTCTCCAAGCCTTGTGATCATGAGAACTAATGAGCACCTGGTTTTCCACTCATAGTAACACAAATACTAAATCTGACCCATTTTACTTGTCATTTGCAAACCACACAATTTTTCAACGTAATGATGCACATTACAGGTAGAGGCCTGTAAGGGACACTAGCACTTCTCTAATCCATCCTTTAGGCATTATTTATTTTCTTAATGAAGGACACTGATAACATTTTTACAATTCCAAGCAAAATAATGTTTTAGTCAAGGTCTAACATAGTTCAAGTGGCAATCGGTGCATTTTCAAGTAGACTTAAATAAGCAATAATGCAGAAAAGACTAAATATTTGAAAACTGTTTGGTCACTCTCGCTCTGAACGTCCAGAACAAAGATTAAAATGCTTAATCAAAGTGGAAGCCTGAGTACATGCCAGGAAGGTTCTCAGCACCGTCTAGATCTTTGGAATCCTTGGGCATTTACAAAAGGTCAGGCCAGAGTTCATAGGTCTTTACTTCATTTGAGTGACATTGGTTTTGTCACAGAGGACTGCAAGCACATTCTAATAAAGAGAGAATCCATCCTGTGCACTCAGTAGACACAATCTCATTACGGACCAAGTTGGAGTGTAGACAGATTAAGAAAGATTAAACTCTGAAGCAATCTGTGCCAGCTATGGGTCCACAGCACCAGAACCAAACTGGAAGTCAATCAGTCCAGTCAAACCAGACAAAAATTACTTTTATATGGAAGTTGGGCTAATGTGAATGCTGATGATTCAGATGCCATCTAGGGAGGATGTCTAACTTTGCATATATTTAGGAGATGTGAGGTAGACTTATTTTAACCAAGTCATTCATTAACATTGTTTTGGATCATAAATTACTCAAAGTTCAAAAATGTTTCAAAAACAAATCTGCTACATAATTCTTGCTACATTATAAGTGTCTGTTGCTGGTTGAGTCAGAAAATTTTAGTTTTAACAGTCCTGTATATGATGGATACAAGAAGTGAAATATGACTTCACTTCTTTTTCTGAATAATTCTAAAATATTTTAGGTGAATATTCATTTAGGAGTTGTTTAGAAATAAGTAATTCTGTGTTTATATGTGCACTACAGTCTTTGACTCTTTGTTACCTTGGCTTTACCTCCTTTCTCAACAAGCCCGCCCACTCCCTCCCTTAAGTGTAATTACAGACGCACATGAGGTCTTCTGTAATTACCTTTGGATTTAATCCTAAGTCTTCACACTTTGAACTAAAAATGGACTTCAGATATTAGAAGTGAAAGACTAAGGTCTTACTGACTTATTTTATTTTATTTTTTACTATTTTCCAAATTACTTGTTATTATCAACCTCCACAACGTATCTTATGTAATTAATTATCTTAAATGTGTAATTTTGTGTTGATTTTTTTCTTCAGTTACATCAATAATTACAGAAAGGTTTGTGTAACAGCTTTAACTCACTTTAATTAAATCAATTAATGTCTCACACTTTTTAGAGAATGCTTTGATCATTCGTTCTGCATTTATTATGTCCTAAAAATAAAGACATATGTTCTTAATGTAATGTTTTGACTCGACTGTAGCTATTAAAGTGAATTCTTAGCAATAAGTGGATTACTCTCAAGAAATATCCTTAGGGTGCCAATTCTTGCACCAGTGAGACACACGCCACCTGAGTACTTGATCTCCTGGGATTGGTGGAGAGCCTTTAGATAAACATGATGTCATTGAACTGCCAGTCAATGGAGGAAACAGATGGAAGTAAAGGCCATCTCAGTGAACACTGACTGACGCTAAGAGATTTACCTGTGCTGGGCAAAAGGGGATTTCATAACATGCTCACGTACACCAGTTGTGCAAGGAAGCACCTTTAATATGTGGGGATGTAATTACATTTGCCATTAACTATTCGCTACTCATTTTGCCACAGGTATGTTAAAAAATACATTAATAAATAAATAATTGGCATATGAATAAACTTTAGAAATTAACAACTCAATTTGATTAAACAACAATCAATTTTCAGTATTTAACTGTCAATAACTGTAAACGTTTTTGTATCTTTTGGTTACATATTTGTCTTTAGGGGTATATGTTAAATAATAATAAAATAACTATAATTAAAAATAAAAACTATAAGTGTATAATTAAAAGCAAGTGTTTTTATAATTAAAACAATAAATAAAACAATTTAATGACCAACACTCAACACAAAAACCTTTCATATAAGTCAAAGTCTTGAGAAAAGTGCTCAGGGGTCACTGGGTTTCCAAACCTGTTGGCCATCTGGTGCAGCGAGACTCCCACTTTATCCCAACGTTATCGTTCTTTTTGGGTTTCCTTAATGAAGTGTACATTAAGGTACAATCTTGTATGTGAGAAAAAGAACAAATAAATGATTAATAATGGAAATCCTACAATATATACACACTGTTTTATAACTACAGTTGTGCACAAACAATATGTACAGTGCTATATTAAGGTGCTGTACAGGGTGAATGGTCTATGTTTAGCCATGACATCACTCACGGTTGTTTTGAAGTTGAAGTGTCCTGCTCACATTCCAACTGCAGACCAGCCATTTCACTTTGTGTTGGGATATTTGAGTAATATTTATTTACGTTTTCTGAGGGTATGTTAAAGAAAAAGATTAGCATTTTAAGTGGCTCGGTTAGGTAATGATGGAATGCAAGATCAACAGGATCAAATTTGAGGTTCTCACCTCATTTATTACTGTTGTTTATTATTTAACTGATTAACACAGACACATGAATTTAACAGTTTGCTGACATAATTATTCTGCTGACATTTATTATTCTGATTTTTATTCCACACAAAATAGACTGTAAAATTTAGACTGTAAAGACTAATTGCAGTATATTGAATATAAAAATTTAATTAATTAGATTTTTATTGTTATGTTATATTAAAAATATATATGCATTTTACCAAAATGTATTTATATGCGTCATTCACTTCTGTTAAATTGTTCAACACTTCAATGTATCACACTGTACCTTCTTTAAAATATGGAATGAGCTTATCATTTTTTGTAACAAGCGGTATGACAAATAATTTTGATTTAGAACCTAAAATACATTTGTGTCAAGTAAAAAAAAAAACAGGACTTATTGGTTCAATTCAAGTCAATTAAATTCTAAACTGGACTACATTGAGATAT